AAAAAAAGTTATTGCTTTGTTCTGTGCATTGGCATTTTTGTCAAAAATGTTACAATATGACTGTTTGTTACAGACTGCCGCCAAGTAGAGCAATTTTATTCAGGATATCTCCCTGATTATGAGACGAGTCACTTTAGCCCACCCCCCTTGTCTCGCCTTCTTCCCTACTCGGCCACGGCCATGTCGCCCTTTAGCGTTCGCGATGATAAAACACTAATCTAAGTGACCCTTAGAGAGAAAAAAGGCTACTTGCAGTCTATATTCCTTAGAATTGCAATTGTTGTTATTTTACGCTACAAAGTTTGCTTTGGATGATCAACAATCATTAATTCAATATAGAAAAGGCTACTTGCTATTTTCTATGTAAGGAGTCCTCGCGATAACATACTCCAATTATTTCAGCTGAGATGGATCCTTGCTGCTGCACGAAATCGTCAATTTCAGGAATTTGTTAACTTACAACGTTCTGACTAAGTATGGCGTAGTAGTCATGGACTGGTAACAAAACTCTAGAAAGTACAATTTGAATTACGTTAATTAATTCGATCTCGATTATTTCGGATTTCCAGTTATTTCGTTATCAAATCTACTTCCTTTGTTCAGTCTCTTGTTTTTTCAGTCATTTACCACAGCCGTTTATTTCGAATCAATCGGTGGGTCGAAGTTGGGCTTTGCCATTTCGAACTTTTTTTGTTCCTGTTGGCTAAAAATCAGTTTATTTCGATCTCCAAAGGTTGGGTCGAAAAAAATATATCACAAAACTAAAACACTAAAATTTGACCTTTTCAATACACTTTCATCTTATACTGTAATTAGGATGTCCTCGGGATTTTCCCTGCCCGTTTTTTGGTCCTAAAAATATTCCATTCCATCATGATCTAGTTTTACCACAAACTGAAATGGGATAGATGTCACTCCAGCTAGCGAGACAAAATCAACCTAAAGATACTTAGCAGTGAGTCACGATTTTGACAATTATGGTCTGTCGAGATCACACTTCAGTAGAATCCAAGAAGAGAATTTTTGGGTTCGAGAATTTGTTATTAAAAACGTTTTGCCTGAGGTGTGAAGCGACCTAATGAAACGACAGGCGAAAATTTTAAAAGCTAATAATATACAGTGAGATCACAAGGAAGTCATTCAGTCCTAAGAAGGGGGCAAAGAGCATTGAGGAACTGAGAGATTGATGACGAACGGCGAGACTTTTTCGAAGTGATAACAGCCAAGGACAAAACACGAAAAAAACGTTTTGTTGTTAAGGATATGAATCCCCCTTAAGTAAATAGCGAGCCATTAATAAAGATTGCTGCTTCTTTTTTTTTTGGACCCGCAGATTCAACAGGCGAAAGGCTTTCACGTTGAAAATAAGAGAAAATAATTCTAGTAGTTACAAACATTCGTTGCTTTGTCCTTCTTCCTAGTATTTCGTTTGAAAGTGTCAGTTGCAAAATTACTATTCGTTTTAATTTCGGAAGCTGATATTTTCCTTTGATTGGGTAGGAAGTAATTACTTTCAGTATCTTAAAATTACCACTTTATTCGTCAGTATGCAAAGAAATCTCGTGTTTGTCAGATACCTCAACTATCCAAGACCGACAAAGAAGATTGAACGGGAGACCCGTGCACTAAACTGATAATTAACATAAGAATATTTACGGAGAGTCATACTAAAGGGTAATCAAGATTGTTCGTGCTGTCAGAATTTATGACAAATAGAAGAATGGATACTTTGCAACGAGCCACCGTTTGGAAAATTATGGTCTGTCGAGATCACACTTTTACAAGCAGATTTCCCATCAGGAAATATTTTTTTACCGTTTGAGAATTTTTCATCAGTGGCAAAACTCTTTGTTAAAGGAAAGTTTTTCATCGGTCAGGAATTGACACTAAATAAAAAGCCTCAGGAGAAACTCCTGCCTTGTGTACTTGGTTTAATAGCTTAATCATATCGCTTTTGATGGGTCGGGAAATTTTTGAAATGCCTGAGAAGGTCCTGCTCTGTGTAATTAACTTAACTTTGCGGAGTAAACAAACATGATTTGAATGCCTTGTCTGATGATGTCTTGTAATTACATTGGGCGCTAAAAATAAATCATTGTTACACCAAGTCAGTCTGAATGGTGCAAAATTTCATTTTCGTGATCAGTACAGGGCAAACAGAACAACAAGGAACACATGACAATTTCGCTCACAAACAACACAACAGAGAACACGGAATCAGAATAGAAAATATTGAGGATATTTATTTTGTAGAATGACCGTATTGTCACGGAATATGAAACACGTCTAACTGGGTGCGTTGAGATCCATTCAATATGCGAATTTTTCTTACGTTTTCAACTTCACACCTTCATATAAAGGTAGGGATATCGGTATATGTGAAATTCGTTTCTAATCAGTCGGTGCATTTTCTTCTTTCTTTTAACAGGGAACAAGCCTGACTGTCATCTTAGTGACTGTACAGTACTTTGGTTCATGCTCAGTTACCTTCGCCTCCAATTCGAAGAGAAGAACATGCAATCTCTTATGGAATAGATATCCATCTTCTTCAGTACTCCATCAACATGCAAACACAACAGAATAAAGAGAACCCTTTGTTTCTCAGCAGCGCGGTTAAAAATGAAGGAATCCCTTCTATTTGCGCAGTGAAACATGAAAACTTATTGATTGATGACACCTGTCAACTTACATCACCCACGTCCGATTCTTCTGTCAAACGTCCCTTGATTGACAGCCAACATGACATGACCACGCCAAGTTCAAAACGCATCAAACAAGAATGGGACGATCCATCATTCTGGGCAAATAAGGAGAGACGTTTACTCTCAAGCAAGACGAGCTTGCAGAATATCATCAGTGAAGTGGCTGATTCGTTTGAAAGCAACAATTGCGTGAGAAATGCATCGTTTCAGGGCTTTGAGAGCTCCAACAGGAATCTGTCTGGTGAAGATGACGCAATAGCTTTGAAACGAAAGAGAAGACAATTTGAAAGTTCGACCCAAATTGTTGCGAGTGCGAACGAAGTTACAACTGGGGATGAAAATGTAGAAGTAGTAGCGCCTTCAATTGATTGCCACAAAGAGGAACGTTCGGTGCCCTCAATTGCTGATCACGTTCAGCCTGAAACAGCGAAGCCAATTCTAAGACCTCTGAAGAGTCTTGATTCCGGACTAAGCGAGGGTTATGCATTTGATCATAACTTCTTTCCCAAACTAGTCGGAGTTCACTCAGCTTTATTACCAACGTCAAGCTCGCCGGAACTAGAGTCGAATCATCAATCCCAACAAACAACGTATGTACCACTGCTCAAGAAACTTGCACAAAATCAAGAAACAAGGGATAGAAATTCTTCCCCTCCACAAAACGCCGAGAATACTTTAACAGCGGTTTCAAATCGAAACTTTCTTGGCCATTGTAAAGATGACAACGGTCACGCAATTCCCAAGAATACTGGCCAGGTCAGGTCACTTGAAACGCCCTTGATGTCACGGACTCAAAATGCATTGACTTGCGACACCAATTTATGCAAACGTGACTTGCTCGAAGATTCAAGGGTTCATGCGCAGAATGCATCAAGGACATTACCCATCACTCCCCGTGTTCCTTCCACGGACAATCGTCCAGTTCCATGGATAAACGCCAGCTTGTTTAGTCAAAAGAAACACGGAACAAAATCACCGGAAACCGCAGCTAACATTTGTACATCGACTGATGCAACAGTTGCTGAGCATGCGCAGGGTCAAGACAGTGCAAGACATGATGCGGTGGATAGTACGTCACAACTATCCCCACTCCTCTCTCCGGTTAGCCCAAGAACTCACAGTCTGGTTTATTCAAGTAAGCAAACCTCCAAGAAGTCTTCCAAAAAGCTCAAATCAGTCAACATGCAGGAAATGGTCAACATTTATAGAATGGCTACCAGTGCCTCGTCACGCAAGAATCAAACTAAGGGCGCCACTCTTCATTCTCCTCCAGATTCCACGTCACAAAAGCCATGTGACCTCTTGTTTTCCTTTACGAAAGCAGACGGCAAAAACGACTTATTTCTTGTCGTAGACGACGAAGTGTTTGCAGTGAAACGGTTCGACTACAAAGGCGTGTCGTATTTGATTCACACCGATAAAAAGGGAAAGGCTTCGATTTTAGCCAAACTTCCAGAGGAGGAAAAGTTGAAGTTGCAACACAACGACACAAGCTCAAGCAGTCGTCAGCAGTTTCCGTCTAACAGAGCAAGTACCTGTAATGTCACGTCCAGCAGTTCAAAGCGATCAAGGCGCACATCTCGCCCCAGGCTTACTCCACAGTGCCCTTCTGGGACATCTCTTAGTGTCACAGCACTGCAGACGTTTTGTGATGAGACCTATGGTGACAAAGCTCAGGCAATGTCAGGTCAGCAACCGGTTCTAGATGAAATTTCCAGAAGAACGGGCGATCAAGGCAGGCAGAAACAAGCAACATCACTGGATGTGGATGAAGTTTTATCTGAACGTCAAGCCGTGTATGATATGCGGACACAAAGCGATAATGATAGACCTATATCTTTTTCAAGAAGTGGCAATTTAAATCCAGACAGAAGGCAGCTGCTCAAACAATTACTGAATGGTATAAGAGCAAGCACAGCCCGTCGGAAAGGGCTGCCTCTGGACACAAATTGGCCACAAAGTGTACCTGTTAGTCAGCAGCACTCGTTTTCTCAAGCATGCGCTGATAGACAAGGCAGGCATCAAGGAAGTGCTGTTCCCATCAAGGCAAGCTCCAATCCCAGACCTACGCATGCGGCGCGGAACCGTTGCGGCAATCAACAGGGCAACGTGAATCCAAATCCAGTGGACAGAAATCAACGGACTGATGAAGTGAATGCGCACAGTCATGAACAGTTCACATATACCTCATCGCAGAGTCCTTGCAACGGAAACCAAGCCGTCGGAACTCGGCATCAACCTTACGACAGTGAAGAAATTGTTGATGAAGACAGTTATGGGAACTTTGCCAAGAATAACAAATCGATGATGAGCGGGAACAGAAATCCAGAGAGAGTGAAGTTAATGAGTTACATTGCTCGTCGTTTGGCTTCAAAAGCAGAACGTGTCTCGTCGACGGCTAATGCCTCATATTATAATCAGCCACCAAGCAGGCGATCTGAAGTCGAAAGACAGATATTTAATAGGACTATGGCAAATCCGTTGAGCACTAGAGCAACAAACACATCGACCAGAAGACACGAAGAGTTACCGCCACTTCAGCAATGTCAACGACTTATGGACCTATTGGTAGGGACGTATAATGTTAAATCTGATGATAATCGCAACAACGGTGGACTAAAATCCTCATCAAGAAAAAGACCGGCCGAAGCCACTCAAGTTGCCAATAGTCCAACACCACCCAGGGCTCAGGGCATGATGGACCGCTGGATACATTTTGAAAATGAACTGTGGAAAAAGAGGGTAGCTTCACTCCAAGCTGAGCAGCGACATTCTTTGTATGTCGATACGACGTCTGATTCACTCACTGACGACAAATGCAGATCAGGAAATCCTGATCGCCAGGTTCTGAATGATAGAAGGGTGACTTCACGTCTGCATTCAAATCAGTCAAACACGGTTTTGTCTCCAGTGTCTTCAGACGGTGACGAAATCCCAGGTCTCATTCAGGAACCTCGGCGTCCTAGTAACGACACAGTTACACAAGATGATCAGCATTTTACCAACAGTGTGCCACAAAACACATCAGCCGTTTCGAGTAATTTAAATTACCATAATTGTATGAGTCATACATCTCTCTATGGCAGATCCTATTTAGTCTGTTGTGAACAGCAGTTTAGCACCGCAAAGAGGCCTCCAGGACATGAAACAAACGTAAATGAGTGTCTTACCAACATTTCATTTAATCAAGCTGTTGAAAAAAGTGGTTCAGCAGTCCAAAGAGAGTCCGTGTCCGCGCTCATCAGTGGTCAGCTAAGATCCACTAAAGATGCACCAGTACGAGGCATTGCAGAAGTTGCTGAGTCATTGGATGATGAAGAAACGGACACAGATGACGGCGATGTCGAAATAATTAGCCCACCTCCCAAAAGATATTCTACGCCTAACACGTTGCTTGATGTTGATGACAAGAGAAATGACAAGAGTCCAGTAGAACAAGATACCCGCAAGATTTCCCACGGCGCACTGCGCGCCGAACTAGTGACAAAAATTCGAGCCACCCGAGAGAGAATAGCACAAGAGAATGTCGAGTGGAAGAGGAAATATCTCTACAGGATACAAATGGAGCTAGAGAATAAACTGGCCAAGGTTTGTGGTACAGCTCACGTTATTGTCATTGATGACGAATGAGAGAAACAATTGTTTCAACAACAAGTGAATTAATGACTGGAAAACATGTGAAAACTTACATCACTGCGCTTGGACGCTTGTAGTATGAGATGAAACCTTGAGAACAATTGTGAAACTTTTTATTCGATTTAGCCGCCTTTTTGACCAGACTAAACATGGCAACTGTTTAATTTTTTAAAACGAGAAAATTTGAAAGGATTTTTTATAGTACACTGAGGTGTTAAATTCCTGAAGTATTGAGGTTTTGATAGATGACTGGGTTTATGAAAACTGTGTCATTGTAAAATACATTCCTTTGCGCCAGGTGAAACCTAAGACCTACAAATAACTCCAAGCGATGAAATACTGTATAAAAAAGAAAACGGTAGAGTACGAAAAGGAAGATGGAAAAGTGAAAAGGAAAAAAACTGACTGGCATTACTCTGAATTTCTTTTTTATAATTATATCTGTCTACTTTGGAGGTATTGTCTGGCAAGAAAAAAAGGTTGAGTAAGGCGAGATTTTCATTGACACTATTTTCATAAATCGAGATATACCAGAACTAAATATTGTATTAAATTTGATTTTTTTTTTTATATTTTAAATATGACAAATTCAACCCTATCTGGGTTAATGGTGCAAATTAGAGACCACCTTATAGGAAAGCGAGTGCTGAACAATCTGTACTTCTATGACTGAATAGAAACACAGGACTAGCACGAGTTGCTGACGAAATGATGAAGCGAGCAAAGAGAATTTACTTTTTGATAATAGAAATAAGCAAGTGATTGTTCTTCCTTCAGTTCTTACATTGTTTCTAAAAGAAATAGAAAACACCTTTCGAGTTTTCATCAAGTTCTAGAAACACTCGTAAACGATTGTTTGAACTTAAAAACAGCTCAGTGTGGAAACATTCTCCTGCAGCTCGTGTTTCGGCGGCATTTCTCGTTTCGTGACGACCATTTTCTTGAATGGTTATGTTTAAAGCTGGCTTAGTACTATGATTTCTTAACGTTTAATTGTATGTTTCGTAATGAAAATATGTACAAATATTGGTCCCATCATTCTCTGCTTTTTTGTCTTTTCTTTTCAATTTATTTACTTATTTGTTTTTTCTATTTTGAATTTTACAACCGGGATAAAATTTGTAATTTTTTGTGATTACTTAGCTTGCGAGAGCGGACGCCTTTTCTCGGCGTGTAAACCCAAAATCGATAACGACGTGTTCTATCGCAGACTAGTCACAACGCAGTTCGTTTAGCTTTTACTATTCTGAGTAGTTTTTGCCTTATTAAGTTAAATTATTGATTGTTTTATTTATTCTATATTCTGTGGCAAATAAATGCTTAGTTGCGCATGTTGTTTGCAAAAACTTCCACTTGCGTACGAAACTGAAAACATGAAATTGCTTTCTACACGTGTAGAAAACTTCAAATTAAGTGCGCCCGATCGTAATAACTTAGGCAGCGTCTGCACTAAGCCGGAGAAATTTGAAAACGCAGCTTGGTTAGGCCTACCGTCCACACTAATCCGTRACAAAAACGGAGCTTTTCCAAAACGCTCTTCAAACCGGAGGAACCTGAAAACACCGGCTTTGCGTTTGCGTGTGGACGGGAGACATTTTGAAAACAGAGCTTTTCGAGAGCGATGGCGTCACGATAATCATGTGATTTCCCTGACTGACAAACCCAAAATGAATGGCGATTACTGCGTTTTTAAATTCCTCCGGCGTAGTTTGAACGGAAAACATTTGATGCGTTTTCAGAGTGAAACCTCCGTGTCCAAATTTCTTCGGCGTAGTGCGGACGGAGCCTTAGTTGTAACGTGCGCATCGAGAGCCAGCCATTCCACTTCTATTTGTGTTTTTTACCAAGTATTTTTCGAGCGTGTTTTTCGCAATCAGAAATATTCCCCAACATTAATGTCTCGAAAGATATGTTTGCATAATGCAGTTCTAATGTGAAAATATGGATCTATATATTGGCAAAGGAGAAATGGAAGACTGACATTCGTAAGAAAAAAATAAAGAAAAAAGGGGAAAATAATGACAGTAAACTAAAAAGGAGTACTTACAGAAAGAAAATGCATGGGAAAAATTTGTTTTCTCTTTATTTGAAATTAGTCACTTCAACCAGCTATTTATACAATTAGCATGTATCGCTAAGGAGAAAGCGCGAGGAGAAACTTAGTACATGGAGCTAAGTGAAATACACGTATGTAGATTTCAGAAAGGCCCAAATCTAGCATCTTTAAAAAGTTAGGTAAGCATTGGTTGAGATCCCCGCAAAATCGCGAATGTGGCGCATCTCTAAACGCACGAAAACACGCAAGAGAAAAAAATATAAATGGGCGAGAATCTCCATCCAAGCATTGTCCAAAGCGACAGACTTTCACGAGTGAAATACATGTATGTAGATTTGAGGGAGGGCTAAAAGTAGCATGTTTGAAACGTTAGGTAAGCATTGCTTGGATCCCTGCAGCTAAAACGCGAGTGTGGCGCATCTCTAAACAAGCGAGAACTTACGAAAGTAAAGAAAGTTGATAGGGGAGAGAATATCTCACCCAAGCACTACCCAAATCGATAGACTTCCACAAGTAAAATACACGTGTGTAGATTTGGGGGAGGGCTAAAAGTAGCATCTTTACAAACTGAGGTAAGCATTGGTTGAGATCCCCGCACCTAAAAGGCGAGTGTGGCGCATCTCTAAACGCGCAAAAACTTACGAGAGAAAAGAAAATTGATATGGGCGAGAATCTCCAACCCAAACACTGTGCAAATCGATAGTTTTCCAAAAGTAAAATACACGTGTGTAGATTTTGGGGCAGGGGTAAAAGTAGAATCTTTAAAAAGTTAGGTAAGCGTTGGTTGAGATCCCCGCACCTAAAACGCGAGTGTAGT